GGGGGGGGGGGGGGCAGGGTTTTTCAGTTGTCCGCTGCAGCAGACTTTCTAGAGCCTGCCCCCTCCATCGTAGGGGCCGCAGGAACCCGGAACCAACGTCTTCAGTAATCAAAGACATCACCCACGGAAAGACACTGCACGCAAAGACACAAAACTAAACTTGACGAATTTTCTGCCGTTTACTCTGAACTCACTCTGTGCATAATGGTCTCGTCTTTTCATGGGACTCTCCGGACGTCTGCCTCGGGGGGGGGTGGGGGGTGGGGTGGGGGGGCTTGTCGCTTCAGACTATAGAGTCTGACGGACCGGGGCCTGCTTGGGCTGCTCGGCCCCGCGATTCGCGAGTCGCAGCCCTACAGGCCTGGGGGTGTATAATAAATAGTTCTCCGCGAGGAGGATCCTAGGGTTATAAATAGGCAGTTCAACAGGGGGGTGGGCTTAACTGCTTTGCTGTACTAGAAGACCACCAGCGTGAGCTCAGCCGCGGCCTGCGAGGTGCCAGTGTTCAGAGTTTGAGCAAGCCAAAAGACGTGAAGCCCGTCCCGTGGCTCACTTGGCTCGGATCAGTCACGTTCACGAACACCGAAGCACCCGGATGCAGTTCGAAGACTCCTCCCAAGTGAATGGATTGCTGCCCACAGGGTTTGGAGGAACTGCGGGCGTTTGCAGCTCTGAGTAAGACTCTCTCGGATCCACTCGGGGAATGCAGGCAGAGGCTGGCTATAAACGGAGCTTGACTCGAAGCTTCCCGATTGGAACAGAAGGTGACTTGGGCGTAGATATAATAGAGTCCTTGTCTTTTAACGGCCAGCTGCTTCCCATTCTCGAGGGTTACCAAGTTGCTGCTTATGGTGTAGTAGCCTTTGGGGGCCCATTGGAGAACTGCAATGGAGAGGGGAGATTCATGGTGAGACGACGCGTACGTGGTTCGCATTCTAACACAACACGGAGTCTCATGTGGGACCCTGGCTTCCTCTACGAATGAGAGCTTGGGGGGAGAGGGGCTCCTGAGGACCCTTCCGGACCTCCGTCCGCGGAGCAGCTACTGACAACTCGGCAGCGGCTTCCGACGGAGCTGGGTTCCAATCCGGGCGTCGCGCGAGCCCGCACAGGTCACTTAACCTCTCTGAGCTTTTTAGTTCCTCCTCTGTAACACGGGGCTGGTAGCACAGGGTCGTTCAGAAACTTGTTCCGAGGATTAAGCACAGCCACCGAACGCGGTGAGTTTCCTTCTTCCTTTAGAGCTTTGGAAGCCGATTTGCCCGTGAACTTTAAGGTGTGAGTGATTCCAAAATCCCACGCCATAAGTCCCGCACGCTAACCCGGTCAGACAAAGCCCTTGCCAACAGGAACACTGGCATCTTGCTCTCCTGGGATTTCACAAAGTCCGAGAGCTGCCTGTTCCACGTAGCTCAGCCTTAGCCCACAAGGGGAGAGACCCCATTTCTTCCTCCCTGATCGTGCTGTCGCAAGCCCGACCTGCCTCCCACAGCAAGGACTAAAATTAGGCAAGGAAGTATGAAAATAAACCTGTCATTTCACTGTGTGTTTTGATCTTCCATCGTAGTGGGGCGTCACCAACTTGAAAGTCCCTGTGTTCTTGTGGCGAAACCCGAGTACCCACCAACAGTGTGCCATTTTCTCGGCTGAGATGTTGAGTGGGTTCAAAGTAGCGTGTGCGCCCGATTTCAAATCTCAGCTCCCACAGAGAGCCAGACTGCCGGCTGTGGGGGTTGGGGAGAAGTGAAAGTATCGATCATTTGCTTCCTTGAGCTCTCTCTTTTTTTTTTTTTTTTTTAATTTCCTATTTGGTGGTCTATCGGGGTGTCAGATTCAACCTGTCAAGACTCATCCTTCGGTAACAGGAAAGGCGTCCTGAAATGTCTGACGTTTCTTGGCCCTCCAGACCACTCCAGAAAGGACGCTTCATTACGGGGTTCTCACTTTGGGACCGTTTGACAAAACAAGGGCGCGGGTTCGCTATCTTTTAGTCCACCAACATTATTTTCCTAAGCCCTTTTACCTAATCTTTGTCCTTGCTGTGGGATCCAGGTCAAGTTTGTGGCAGCATGGGGTGAGGGATGTTACTGTCTTGGCATCTGATCGCCTGTGGGCCTCCTGGGATGCAGATGGGGAAATACGCTAGGACCAATATCGATCATGGGGCTTTGGGCAGAATCTAGGTACAGGTGGACAAAGACCAGTGGGAAGCTACTCTTCTAGGTGGTGGCTCTGTTGCTGTCGTGCGATCTGGATGTGCCAGTGTCGGGCGAACAGCCACCCCGGACATGCCCATCGACTTGTGATGTTTTCCCATAAGTGTATTTTCTGAGAATGGCTACTTGGCGGAATTATTAAATGTTGTAGGAACAAGGGGTGGGAACGAAGGGCTTTACGCGGCTCTTCCGCCATCTAAAGTACAGAAAAGTAAGCTCAGGAACGACACCTTACATTTGTAGAGCACATGACAGTGTAGCCTTCTTCCACATTGGCTGATGTGATGCTGAGAGCCACCCCGTGAGTCAACGAGGCAGGAAACAGCGGTGAAGGCACTGGCCCGAGCTCATCTAGCAAGTGGTAGTCACGGTCCTGGAATCTCAGGGTTCAAAAACTTCCTATCTGGTGCTCTTCCTTCCATATCATGATCTCCGACAATCATTTATGGGTTACACCCACTGAGACGCCCAAGCTGCCTCGGATATGAGGTGGTGTCTCCTCTCCTCTCTCTCTGTCTTCTATTTCTATCTCTGTCTCTTTCTCATTGTGGGTGTGTGTGTGTGTGTGTCTCTCTCTCTCTCTCTCTCTCTCACACACACACACACACACACACACACATGCTGTGTCGAACTCCGTTCTGGAGCACTGTGCCACATGTTTTCCCGAGGTGGTTTCACGCTCGTGTGCACATTTCCACCCATTTGTCAGATGCAACGCACTCTCTGGCACCGGCTATCCCAAGGCACACGTTTGGTGGAAAAAGATCTCAGAGCTGGGATGATGGCAGAACACATATGGAAATAAAATCATTCAGAGTTACAAAGATTACGGCGTGTCGTCTGTTGTTACTTCATCGGAAAAGCTAACGTCCTGGCAACGATCGATCTTTGCAGAATGATTTTACCTTTAATTTCCCCAGGGTTGGCCCCAGCGAGCCTGGGGTTAATCATACAGGGATTGACAGATGGCGGGAAATACCTCCAGAGGCCCGTTTACGCACAGTGAAGAGGGGTTAGCATGAGGGATGCTCCCAGTCGGGAGGTCACTCACTCCCTGCCATGTCTTCTATGTTGTCAGAATAATGGTCCCTCCACCCAGCAATTCATCATTTGGAATCGGCCATTGAACAAGAACATAATGAGGACATCGGGACTGCTTCCCACCTCCTTTTGTCCCTTCAAGGCCCATCTGTCCGTCGGAGCTCACTTTGAAGACAAAGGAGGGCGGACGAGAGGTGTATGGGTGGGTTGGTAGACTGGGCCCCAGAGGAAGAGAGGAACCTGCCCAGTAGGCCGTGTGGCTTCAGCATCCCCGCCCTCCCGCCTGGGTGCCCGACTCAGATGCTTTGGACTTACCAGACGCTGTGCTACTGCTGGCCTCACTTATGACATGTGCTGCAACTCGAGGATCCTGATCGCCTGAAATTGAAACCAAGAGCCAACTGTCAGGCCAAGAGCAATGCGACACTGCCCGCAGAGCCATTGGATCTAGTTCTCAGCCACGTAAGAGAGGCCGGGCTTAAACCGGTTACGCAAAAGGAAAGGTAAAGTGGTCTGAAGTCCCTGCCACAGGGACAGGTTGGTTTCTAGAATCTGAACGCCTGAACCGGCTCTTGGCACCGAGGCTGTTCCCCTCATGGCTCTTCGATACCCGACTCCTCTCTACCTACGTGGACTCCGGCTAAACTCCTGGTCTCCATGAAACATATTTGGAAGCTTTGCTTTTGGAAACAGCTCCCATCCGCTGGGGATCTCACTGGGCGCCCAGGCCGTGTCTGATGTGGTCAGGCAACAGGCCAAACTATTGTGCCTATCTCGAGTTGTTTCTCGTGTAGAAAGCTTGCTTTTTAATCAGATGTGCTGATCTCCTGAGTGCAGAGACTATGAGGAAGTTTCTTCTCCCCCCCCCCCAGTAATGGGCCTGATGTCAGACACCTTGGAGGTGCCCTATAAATATTGAATCAAATTGCATGACCTAGATAAGCAGTTTCGTCAAGTTGATCCTTTCCCTGCAGACCGCTAGACAGCATCCATGTGAACTGGTTCCTCAAATTTCATTCTGAGGACAAAAACCTTCGTGGAAATCAGATGACCCGTTGCGAGTGTCCAGAAAAGGAGGTGGGCGGGAGAGGAAAGGCCCTAGAAAGCATCATAGGAGGAACAGTGGAAGACACTGGGGGTGTTTAGCCTGGAGAAGACAAGGCTCAAGGGCCATGACTGCCATTTTCAACATCTGGACAGTTGCTGCATAAGAAGAAGAATTCTGCTTTGCTCAGTATGGCTCCCAAGAGCAGAACTGGGTCCAGTGGGTGGGAGATTACAGGAACGACTTTCAACTCCAGAGGAGAAAAGATTTCTCTCGAGTGGTATAGCAATCTTATTATCATTATTAGAGCCACTTAAAAATGGACTCAGATGATTAATGAGACAGAAGGTGCCTAGGCATGTTGGATCAGAGGACAGATGGTCAGTGCCGTTGTGAAGGAGATGCGTATCGTGTGGGTGGTGCTACATTTGAGAACCCTTCCAGTCGAGACCCTTTCTGCCCCTGAGATGTTTGAGATGTTCTGACATCAAGAACAGGGCGAAGAGTAGAACGTCGTCACACGGTATTGTTCCTCGATCCCAGATGCTCCACTGGCCACGGTCCCCCATGAAAACCTGTTATCGCTGAGCGGTGAACGCCCCTGCTCCCAAATGATGACTTCCCCATAGAAACATATAAACAAAGCCTTCCCAAATCGCAGGCATTAGAGAAGGTGTCGATTTGGCCATCGTATTCCTGTTTTATTTCTAGGGCTAAAAGTTCCCTCATTCATCAACCGGGCTGTTCAGTGTCATCAGCCCAAAGCTTCCTTTTAGTTTTTAAGTATTCATAAAAATGAGTAGAGAGCAACCTACCTTTTTGCATTGCAACATTTTTTTCTTTCTTCGCTTCTTTGTTTAGCATTATCTCCTAAAATAAGAATCATTGCAAAAGGTCATTTTGACAGGAAATCGGGCGTGGGGGTTTTAGAGGTATCATTCATTGGGCGTCTGTCATTGCTTTATCGCCTGTTCCTGGTGAGGATTATCACACGGACTTAGATCCTGTCATTAATTCCATCATCCTGATTGGGAGCCCATGGCTCTGACAGATGAGCTGACAGCCCAGAAAGCCCAGGGGCGAACCTGGAAGCAGAATCTGGGCCTTATTAATCTCCACTGTGTTGCTCTCTCCAGACCAGAGGCTGTGGTGCTGACCCTTCCTGTGACCCCAGCCTCCCTGCCTCTGACAGGTATTGACAAATAATGCTGAATGGGGAGACGTTTCTACCCTGGGAACTAGTATATAGAATAATATTAAACACGAAGCATGGTGTGGTGTGTGTCTATTGGAATAAAATTGGTCTGAAATCTCTTAGGAAATGGTAAGAGTAAGTTCGACCTTGGGAAGAAATTCCAGACGATGAAAAGACCCTCAGACTTTTTTTTTTTTTTTTTTTTTTTTTTTTTTTTTTTTTTTTTTTTTATCCCTGTCAAGGGGATGAGGAAATTCTCTGGTTGCTGGTCGCCTTGCGTGGCCTGTATTTATTTAGAGTAATCAGCAGATGGGAAACACAGATAATCTCCCAGTGATGCCCGCGTTCAAAGGCAAATGCAACACTTCTTAAGGGGTTTCTTTTCACTTAGCAACTGGGGAAAGCTGGAGGTACTCAAAGAAGTTAACAGGGACAGCCCTCACCTCAACACAAGCAGGAAGGTAATAATGGCTACGGCTGCCATTTTAAAGATCCTGAATACAAGGCCTAGAGGGCTTAACTGGCTGGCATGAGGTCACCCAAGGGGTCTGGGGGGGAAGCCAAGAGCAGAAACCATGAGATCACATTCAGAGGCCGACTGAGCTCACACCATCACTCTGGACTCTAAATACAAGGGAGGAACAAGGTAGTATTTTCACATCTGATCATCAAAGTCCCATTACCGGACTCCATTTTCTATAGGGCCCTTCCTTTTCCGTTCTTCCCCAGAAGGAATCCGTGGCGGTACTGGTGAGGGTCTCGTTGTGGGCTCAGCTCGGTTGCCAGATGTGAGGGTGTAAGCCTCACAGAGCCCTAGCGGGGAATCTGAGCCTCGAAATGCTCACAGGGGCCCGCAGGGCTTTAACTTTCCACTTGAGCTAGATTGTGGCGCTGAGAAAGTGCGGTGACAGGAAAATGTTTGTGAGACAGCAAGTAAACAAATGAGTATTTAGTGTCTTTTCAAAAATGGAGTGTGATGATCGAGGGTGAGATACTTTTAGGCTACGTGAAAACGTGAAGTCAGCAAAGTTTGTCTTTTATGTGCCCAGCCTTGCCTTTCTGTGAACTTTCCCTCGGCCGCACTCCCCAGAGCCTTTTCTCCCCCTTGCTTCACTCCCCACCTCGACTGAAAGACTTCTTAAAGTTGACTTTCAGAAAATCTGGGACTGGTTATTTCTCTCTTAGTGGGAGGGATGGACAGGCGGACCTTTACCTTGAAGAGGAGATGCTTTGACACCTCAAAGACGTCTCAGGCCTCAGTGGGCAGACGACCCTGGAACTGATCAGTCTAGCGGGGTGGGGTGGGTAGTATGTTTTAGTGTGAAATTACACTATTCAACATGCTGCCTCCACTTACCCTAGCATGAACCCTGAATCCCATCCTGTCCAAGTGACAGGTAGGTGTTCCCTGCCTCAGGAGATAATGAGTTGCCTGTTACTAGAGGTGTCCAGAGTTTGGTGACCTCTGGGTAGGGACTACTGGGGAGAAAACTGAAGTCCTGGGTTGATAATTGCATCTGGTGATTTCTTTCTTTCTTTCTTTTTTTTTTTTTTTAAAGTAGGTTTTATGCTCAGCGTGGAGCCCAGTGCAAAGCTTGAACTCACGACCCTGACATCAAGACCTGAGCTGAAGTCAAGAGACAGACACCGACTGAGCCACCCAGGCACCCTTAGATCCGGTGATTTCTAGGACCCCTTCAAGTCCTATGATTTGGAGCCCCCAAAATCAAACCTTAGGTTGCCCCAGACCAGTCAGACCGTGAACCCCAGAAAGAAAGCCTGTTAACGCTCACTAAGAATATTAAAATCCGGTTTGGGGTTACTATGCGGTTGGCCTGTCGGATTTTTTTTAAGATTCCAAAATATTGTTTAGAATGAGAAATTTGGGAGAACGGATATTGGAAAGGGGGTCGGTCTTGGAAAAGGACTCGTTGTCTAACCACTGCGCGTATCATAGGTACACAGGGCGCTGCCTTGGATCCCGCCCCTGTAGCAGGAGAGGCAAGGGGCTTCCTCTGTTACACGCAAGGAGCCCTGGGTGGCATGTTGAGAAGGTCTGCCTTTCTAGCATGTGAGACTTTGGAGCTGTCACTATTTTTAGGCAAGCAGCTGGAGGGGCCAAGCCGGCTGTCCTCCTTGCTCCTATCCTGGGAGGCTGCCTTGGGAAGTTTTACACATCTGACCTAAAATAGAGCCGTTAGCAATGGGCAGTGGAACTGTAAAACTCTCAGTAAGAAAGAGAGAGGAGAAAACCCAACAGCCACTCGCACTGCCTTGGAGGGAACGCAAGGCTGATCGTATAATTACAGCACGGCAGAGCAGATAATCTCAGCCCTCTCACTTACAGACGAGAAAACAGGCCCAGGGAGGTGAAGTCACTTGCCCAAGGTCACACGGCCGAGCGCATTAAGTAGGCCAGTTGGATGACTGACTGTTGTTCTGAAAGTGGCTTTAATTTTGCAACACCTCCCAATGCCCCATGGTTCTGGCGAGAATCCTTGAAGAACCAGAGAAACTCAAGTCATGAGAAACTCAAGTCATTTCCAAGCCTGGCAGAGAAAGAGGAGCCTCCATCTAAACCCTAGGTTGGCGTAAAGAACGCAAAAGCCAGCAGCAGATTCGGGCTGCGTTCTGATTCCTGTAGGTGACACCTTCATAGGCTTCGGAGTCTTCGCTATTGGATTAAATTCCACCTCAGGGACAGTGCAGGAGGACAGGCGTAAGCTCAGGTTGCATCGTAAGCCCTTTACTCCCGGGTTGAATTGCAGAGCATGTATGTATATATGTATGTATGTATTTATTTATTTATTTATGTTTATTTATTTTGAGACACAGAGGGTGAGTGCGAGCAGGGGAGGAGCAGAGAGAGAGAGGGAGAGAGAGAGAGAGA